ATAGCTATAGTAATCTAGTGAGTTAAACCTCCTATAGCTATAGTACTCTAGTGAGGTTTACAGCACAGTGCATGCTCTGTGCTGTAGATCCTATAACTATAGTAATCTAGTGATTAAACCTCCTATAGCTATGTAGTCCTAGCCAACAATTATGGGCTTAGGGTTCAAGCCCACAATTTGGTCCGGTGAATGCAAAACATAGCGGAAGTTTTTACCTTCATGTATACCTGTGTTAACATCGATCTGTAAGAGGCAGTGACGTTAGCAATAAAAATATTAAAAATCGTCAAATGATATTAGGTTGCTAAGTTGGTAATTCGATGCAAAATTAGTAAATTACCTGTGCTGGTCCTCGGGCAGCCTGGCTGGGGGAAGGCTGCTTGGGTACCCTCCCGGGTGGCCAGGGCCAGGCAGGGTCCGGGCAGGGTCCCGGGCGGTCCCAGCGCATAATATTGAAAAAACAGAAAATAAAAGAAACTCAAAAAAATCCGGAAAAAGAAATGTTGTGTAAAATTGCAATATGAACAACGTTTGGCTGAGGGCCACCTCGAAATTCCTTGTTAATTTAAAGATAAATAAATAAATAAATAAATCATAAATGAGAAAACATGAGTCAAAATGAACCCTTTTGAACCCCTTTAGTGACGTTTAGTCACTGTTTATAGTAACTTTATTCGGAAATTATACCCCCTAAACCCCCCTGGACGACCCATCACCTAAATCGGAGTTAAGACCGGATTCAGACTGCTTAGGCCGAGCATGGTCCCAGTCTGAAGTCTTTTTTTTTTTTTTTTTTTTTTTTGGGCTCCTTGCCTCCTTTTTTACCCATCTGGTTTTGCCAGGCGACCCCCCCTTCTGCTCAACTGGCCCGGTCGGGCCTGGCTGGGCCTACCAGGACGGGCGATGGCTCAGCATAGGAGTCAATCACTCCTTTGTGCAATTCATTTTGAACAGTTAAGAACTGATTTAGAATTTTAGACAAATCTATTTCCATTTCGTCAAACTATATTCGTCAGCTCGAGCTTCCCATTTCGATGAGCAGTGAACCCATTTCAACAGAAGAGTAAAGATTGGAATCTTTGGATTAATGATGAACTTTCCGAAGAAAGATTGTGCAATTTCATCCTGAGAGAGAGAGAGAGTTAAGAAGGTATTGTTTGTACAAATTCGGCCTGTGAACAAAAAAAAACATTTCATAATTTTCATTCAAATTAACACCCAACCAGTTTCAGACTGCGCCCACACCTTTTGAACAGGCCAGAATACCGAGTTAGGCACGTCATTTCGCTCTCTTTTTTTTCTTTAAGCAAAAACATCCCTACCTCGAAGAAGAAGAAGAAGAGAAGAAGAAAGAAGAAGAAGAAGAAGAAGAAGAAGAAGAAGAATGAAGAAAAGAAAGAAGAAGAAAGAAGAAGTCCTTGGTGACCTCCGTCAAAATTGGAGCGGTACAGAGAAGATTAGCATGGTCTCTGCGCAAGGATGACACCCATAAAAAAAGAAACAGAAAAAGAGAGAAAGAAAGAAGAAAGAAGAAGAACAAGACTACGTCCTAATGTGTTGTTGTGATGTGATGTGTTCTGGTGTTTCCATTCGGTGCAGCTTGAGGAACAACATGTTTGAACTCGCAGACCATTTAGTGGGAATTTATAAGACAGACAATTGCACAAAGAGTCTGACGATCCAGCCATCATCCTACGCAGTCCAAGCGGCTTGAGATGGGAGATGAGGTTGTGCTGTGGACAGAGGAGGCAATATTAATCGTCATGTACCTTTTACTGGTGTGCCTTCCTTGCAGCAGGCAGAGGTAAGGATTTCAGTTTCACCTCACTTTTCTGCCTGAGTTTCTCAGTAAAAACGTTAAAAAAGAAAAAAGCAAAGATCCAAAAGAACGAAAAGGAAAGAGACAAAACCCTTCCTTGGACAGGACAAATGAATTGGCGGCGGGCGCAAAAACGTTGTGCAAGTTTTTGAGTCTTTTGACTGTGTTTCTGAACAGGTAACTCTCTGCAAGATAGAATCATTATGTGCTCTGGTGCTAAGCGACCGGACTGCCGCTTCCAGAATCGTTGGGGGCGTGTGTGTGTGTGTGTGTGTGTGTGTGTGTGTGTGTGTGTTTTGGTGGGGGGGGGATCAATCGTCCAGGCCGGCGGCACGGCATGTTGCGGTGGATAGTGGGCTATTACAAAAACCCAAAAAGGACTCATCTCCCGGCATGGAACAAACCAAGAAGAGGAAGCATTCACAGACCAGGCACAGACCAGGCAGGCATTCCAGTGCCTCGAAGTTAATACGAGCGGGGCTCATCAGCTTAAAGAAAAGGGGAGGGGGGAGGGGGAAAGAGATGAGAACGACCAAGCAAGCAGCGCAGAGAGGCAAACCAGCAAGCCAAAAGGTATCAGTGCATACTCACAATAGTTGAAACTTCTCAAAAGAGACGTTTGCAAAAAGGGGAAAAAAAAAAAAAAAAAAGGAAGGGAAAAATAGATAAAAATGTTCCAGCATTGGATCGGTGGGAATCTATAAAAAAAAAACACGAAGAAGAAGAAAAGGTCCAGACTCCAAAGACTCCAAACTTCTTTCAAATGATTTGGACTTTCGGTATGAAAACGCGCAAGTTCAGTGAGAGTCCACAGTCCTGTCCTTTTTCTTCTTTTTCTTTTTTCTTTTTGGCGCTGTCGAATCAGCTTGAATGATTAAATGATTTTGAAATTTGAATCTCTTTTTTCGCCTTTTTCCTGTTTCTTTTTTTCCTTTGCCTTTTGGACACGTATGTTGCGAGTAGCCAGGCCCGGCACAGTTTGGAAATTGGACCATTTCAGAAAGCATGGTTCACAAACTGTTTAGGGCTTCGGGTACACAGAGCGTGGTTCACACGCTGCGTTGCCAAACCTTGTTGTGCAGGGGCTGTGCTAACCTTCTCTGTATCGTTCCAATTTTTTTTTTTTTTTTTTTTTTTTTTTTTTTTTTTTTTTAGTTTGGACCATTTCTCGATTTATGCGTGTCATCCTTGCCCAGGGGCCATTTGCTAATTTACCCTTCTCTGTATCGTTCCAATTTTAACGGATGGGCCGAAGGACATATCGTTCCAATTCTAAACCGGACGTGCCGAGGTATTCTCTAGGAAACAATTTTTTTTCTTCATTTTTTCTTCATGACTTTTCTGAATGTAATCTGTTCTCCTTTTCTTTTATGGCTTTTTTAATGCTCAAGCAATGACTTGACTTGGGTTCTCGATTGTTCGGTTGGTGATTGTGCAGGTGGATTTTTTTATTTTTTTTGTGGCGGATGGGGGAGGGGGGTGACGGAGGGGGGTGGGAGGGGGTAAGGAGATCAATTTATCGCATTTAAGAATTTTTAAGTTGATTTAAATTATGTTTTGTCTATCCCTGTGAATCAGCTGCACAGAGTATAGTAGAGAAGTGAGGAATTAACTCAGGCGATACTCACACTAGGGAGTTCTTTCTGGATGGAATTGCAGCCAGATGCATGTCCAGGTACGCCCGTAAATGCCCTCAGATTAGACTCGGATACATTTAAAATAGTGGTAGTGTGAGTACGCCCTTAATCACCGAGACTTGAGCAGGATATCAAGTCGAGTCTCTATGATTAAGTGAATTTCTCACTGAGTCGATAGCCTTCGAAAAAGAAAAAAAACCGAAAAGTCAAGTCGTCGGAAAAGACATGCACACTTCTCTAGGGTTCCACTAACCCTGACAATGACTTTCCCAGTGCCATTTAAAAAAAAAAAAAGTCCCACCTTGTCCAGTCTTTGTCCCTTTGTGGGACTCCAGGAATAATAGGCAATATGCAGGTTTTTTTTTTTTGGGGGGGGAGAGGGGAATATTTAGAGTTTTTTTAATTTTTTTTTACGCAGTGTTTTGTCTCAAAAATGTTTTTTTTTTTTTTTTTTTTTTTTTTTTTTTTTGAATGCACAATTTTTTTTTAACACAGCCCGATGTGGTGGTAGCGGTGCTGGTGAGAGCAGACACCACTACCACTCTCGGGGCGGCTCCATCTACTGGTGGGGAGCAGCGCCTGCTGGAAACCGGGTCCAGCGTCCCTGAACATATTCTGTAGCAAGTTTTTTTTCTTTTCTTTTGTAACAACGATTTTTTATTTGTTTTTCCCTGCATACAGTGCAAACTAAGATTTTCGAATTCTCATGCCATCCGGGGTGTTACCCATTTTTCCTCTAATAAGCCCGTAGCCTCATAGGTTTTTTTTTTCTGTTTTTTTTTTTTCAGGGTAAGGTATAACTGTATAGGTCCTTTGCTCGTCTCAATTTGTCATCACACTGTCATCGACATTTGTTTCAAATCGTAATTTTTACTTTTTCAACAGGTTCCTTTGCTAGTCTCAATGTGTCATCACACTGTCATCGATGTTTGCTTCAAATTTGAGTCGTGATTTTTACTTTTTCGACAGGTTGGTTTCTTTTTTCGTTCAATCGTGTGGTTTGGGTGGCCTAGAGCTCCAGCTTTTCCTTTAAAGTGGTAGGTTTTTAGGTTTTTGTACACTTTTTTTGGCAGTGGAGGCTCTGTCTATTTGTGTGAGGATGTGATTCTGTGAGAAATCCTTGACTCTCAGGTATGCCTCCTCGTCTCTACAGTTGTAATTGCCTCCATATTAGTTGCAGTCCTCTCTCTCTCTCTCTCTCTCTCTCTCTCTCTCTCTCTCTCTCTCTCTCTCTCTCTCTCTCTCTCNTCTCTCTCTCTCTCTCTCTCTCTCTCTCACACACACACACACACACACACACACACACACACACACACACACACACACACACACACACACACAATTTTTATTTTGTCCTCCTCCCCGTTGTCTACTCCCTCTCCTTGGGTACTACTAGTAAACGCATATGAATGAGCGTCATTGAGAGAACAGACAAAATACAATTACCCTTTTACTCTGCCTCCTTTTATAACCGTAAAGGCGCACGGGGATGTGGGCAGCTGGCGCTCAACCATCATCAACGTGGCCAGCCTTGTACGTGAGAGGCACAGTAAGAAGGTAACTACAAAAACAAAGAGAATGGGAGGCCCATCTCAAGTGTGTTGCATTGCTTGTGTAAAGGTGAGATTGCTTGCATTGCTTGTTTAAAGGTAAGGTTCTGAATAGATATTGACTTCACAACAATGTTGCACATGCCGACCGCCGGCGACCCTTGACTGGTCGGCTGCCGACCGGTCGGCTGGTCGGCACCCCGTAAAAAAAAAAAAAAAAAAAAAAAAAAAAAGGGTCCAGAACCCCTAATAACCCCACAAACACCCCCATACCCACCCCGAATACCCCCATCCCCCCCCCCAACACCCACGAACCGGCCCCCAACACCCTCATAACCCCCCCCAATACCTCCTATACCACCACTATACCCCCCTATACCCCCCTATATCCCCCTATACATCCCATCCCCAACCCCCCTATCCCCAAAAGTTTCTCAGCGGATTTGGGCTGTACTCAGCAAGCGCAGTACAGCTTTCAACTCAGATCTGAAAAACAATTAGTGGATGGTTGTTTTCTGACTGATCGGCAGACCGCCGACCGGTCGGCCCTACTGGTCGGCTGCAATACGGTCGGCGGTCGGGATTGGCGGTCAGCAGGGATGCAACCATGCTTCACAAGCAAAACTGTTTCATTGGTGGATTGGCTCATCTTGAGCATGCTTCATTGTCTGCAATACAGGTAAAGTTGCTATGACTTTGGATCTACTCATCTGGGTGGAATAGGGAAGTTGTGTTTTTTTTTATAACACACACACACACACACACACACACACACACACACACACACACACACACACACATGCACACGCACACACATGCACACACAC